GGGGGGGGGGGGGAGTGGTCTTGATGATGATTATTATTATTACTATACAAGTTTTGTATTACTATTGTATTTTATACAGATCCTATGTAAGATAATAACAGACTATGTTTCTTCTTTTTCTTACTCTGCCACACCACTTGGGTGCAATGCGCACGCTATCGTTAGAACGGTGTAAGGTGGGGAAAGATAGATAAGCTTTACAGTGCTTGGGTTAAAAAATGCCAACACATGGTTTAGAAACAATCCGAGTCAAGGAACTACCATCCACTAAATCGGAAGGACGGAGTGAAGTGTGGGTTTCCTGTGGTGAGAAAGCAAACATTTATTGTTGTCATTTCATGATTTTCATCTTAGATGTTTCTTGTTCGAAAAGAAAACCAAAAAAGGGGGAAAGTAGACGTTTAGAAAATAACATAAAAGGTGAACTTTTTAAGGCGAACTAAAATCCTAATGTTGAGCCTTCAAGACGAACCCGAGGAGATTATTCAGGATGTGAACGACCTCGTCGAGACCTTTATCACGAACATCAAGTGTCGGAGACTGAGTGAGTACTCCAGCGATGGCGAGTCGCTCTCCACCATCGCCGCCGTTCAGATGACCGATCTCATGGCGACGATCGTTCGGATTTTTCAGCAGTACGAGGAGCGACCCGATGGGTTTGGGATGCAGATGCTCAAGGCCGGCTACCCGGTACTGGAGGTTTCGACCCTGCTTGTTCGTCGGCTGCTGGTGCTGATCGCGCGCGCCGGGGACGCCCTGCTGCGCGCGCAGTTCGCGACGCTGCTTTTGATGAATGTCACCCGTCGGGTGCTCTCCTTATTGCGCGAGGCCGCGGCGAACAACCGGGCAACCGTGCAGGAACTCGAACTCGAGGCGAAGCGCCTCCTGGACGGCCTGAGCTCCGACGACGAGGGCGAGGAAAAAGGGAAGCCCCGCGAGGAGGCGCCGGAGCGGGGACGCCCCCTCCAGCATGTGGCTTCGTCGCCGAATTCGCTGGAGAGCTCGCCCGGGACGCAGGCGACGCGGCGGCGGATGTCCGTTCGCTTCGCGGGGAGTCCGCCGGCCTTGGAGGGCGGCGCCCCGGAGCGATTCCCGCGGAACCCGAGCCGAGGGCTACTGCACGGGGTGGGCGGGATTGGGGCGTCGGAGATCCCGGGGCAGCAGTTCCTCCGGCGGGCGCCGAGCCAGCGCGCGGGGTCGTCCGACCCCGCCGAAGAAGGGACCTTCCCCGTGAAAGTCTTCCCCTTTTTCGAGGACGCCCTGAACGGCATCGATGAGCTCAAGAGCGAGATTGACGGGATGGTGGAGGAGCTCTGCCGGCGGGCGCCGCGGCAGCTGCACCGCAGCGACACCGTCCTCACGATGGGCGCGAGCCGGACGACCCACCGCTACCTCCTCCAGGCCGCCAACGCGGGCTGCGATTTCAAGCTGATTTTGCTGGAAGGGGCGCCGGGCCCGCGGGGGCCGTGCGAGGCCCTGGCGGCCTCCCTCTCGCGCTGCGGGGTGGGGGTGCAGGTGCTGCCCGACAGCTCCGCCTTCGCCGTGATGAGCACCTGCACGAAGGTGCTGGTGGGGGCGGAGAGCGTGCTCGCGAACGGCGGGATGCTCGCGCCGGTCGGGACGCATATGTTGTGCGTGGCCGCCAAGCACTTCGCGGTGCCGGTGCTCGTCGCGACGACGACGCTGAAGATGTCGCCGTATTATCCCAACAACCAACTCTGCACGCGGCTCGTTCGCATCGCGCGGACGGGCGCGCAGGAGATGCCGTGGAGCACCTACGGCTCGCCGGAAGGGGTGCTGCCGTCGCCGTTTGGGCAGTCCTGCGCGGACGGCGGGGGGGTCTTCGGCGTCTACGCGCCCATCACGGAGTACGTCCCGCCGGAGCTGATCGCGCTTTACCCGACTAATGAAACCGAGTTTACGCCCTCCCAGGTGCATCGGTTTGTTCGTGCAAACTACAGCGATGCGGATTAGGGGGATTTTTCTTTTACTTCTTCTTCTCGTCCTTGGACTCCTTTTTTTTTTCGTTTATGCGAGGTAGTCACAGTTCTGGCTAATGAGCGAATCGCTGAGACCTAAAGAGATCTACGTCATTATTATTTTTTTGGATAAAACTTGGTCAAATACGAATAGGCATATATATATATATATATATTTTATATATGTATTGTTATCAGTTTAACTATAATGCTACTGAGAATGGCTCTGAATGGGTGGGGGTAGAGAGCGAAGAAAAGAAAACACGCAGTCTCATTTAATAGTTACGGTTCATAGCGTATTTCGTATGAATTTGCGAATATAATGTGGTACTTTCTGTTTATTAAATTATACTCAGATGCTTTCTGTAAGTAACAGCAAACCTCTGTTGTGGTTAAAACATCTATTGCCGCCTATCATTGACTCAATTTCTTTATCAACGTTCTTATTCACATTTTTTTTCTCTATTTATTGGTTTTATATGATCTAATACTAAAAAACAAAATATGTGTGTGCGGAGAGAGAATTAAAAGAAGAGAAAGGGAAGAAAGGTTGATCAAACACTATTTTTAAAAAAACTACAAAATGATGCTCACTGGCAAAGGTGGCGAGAAATCTCGATGGAGTAAGGTGTGGTATTCGACCAAAAGTTATTTCACGAACGTTTGTCGTGTTTATCTCGACTTTGCTGGACCTCTTTTGCTGTTAGTTGCCGTGAATATGGCGATTGATTCGCAGGACAAGGAGCGTTTTGGATTGGGTTGGTTGTATTGCACAGGCCTTAAAAGTGATCAGGAGCGAGAGGTGAAATTTCCACCACATGAACCTTCCAGCGCTGCTCAACGTCGTCGAGTGGAGGCCGCCAGCGCTGTCGATGCTGTGGCTTCCCTTTAAAATGAAGAGAAATAAAGAACATCGAAATAAAAGGCAAAGAAGAGGAAAATAAAAAAAAGAGGAACAGGAAGAAGGGGTTCACAGCTTGTGTGAGACCTTTGGCAGGAGAAATCAGCTACAACCTCCACAAATTTTTTCTTTTCTAATTTTCCACTACAGCGCATCCTCCAGATCTTTGTTGAGAGGGAGTGTTTGGTTTGTTCGGAACTTATGCCATGACGTTTTTTCAAATGATGTGGGGAAAAAAAATAGCGGAAGGTGGAAGAGGAAGGGAGTATAATGTGTCCCTTAGTTCTAATGAAAGTAAAACGATTTTTTTTTTTTAAGTCCTCACGGTACATTCACTGGAGTAAGTGAGGCGGATGACGATAAGTCATCCAGGAAAAAATGTTTTGTGTTGGAAATTACTATGTCCTTCTTTCCTACCATTAAATTTGACTCTTTACCTTCACTTCTTCTTATTTCTTCTTTTGTATAAGACCTAGTTATTGTTTTTTTTTGTTTTATACACCTTCACGACAGGTTGAGGGAGCAAATTAGTAGGAAACAGTTTTCTTTATTTTTCTGATTATCTATTTCCTTCAAATTATCTTCTAGGACTTCAACAAAATAGTAATTGCTTGATTGTTTAGATAAAGTTAAGTTGTTGTTTTTTCATTCTTGCGGTCTGAAGGTGCTTTTAAAATAAAATATATCCATATCTATCTCTATATATCTATCTATATAGATAGATATATGGATATAAGTATACAAGGGAAGAATATAAAACGAGGATATTAGTTTTTTTTGATTTTTTTTCGAATCACCTTGATTGGTATTAAAAAACCCTTTATTGTTTACGCCTTTTTCTCTCTTTTTTATTATTTTTCCACATTCCACGTCTCGATCTTTTCGTTAATTCGTGTCTTAAATAATGCCAAACCATCCCGAAGGCGAGGTTTCCCAAGCCGTCTCCAAGGCTGGGAATTCTTCCTCCGTGGCTAACCCGCCGAGCGCCACGACACCACAGCCTTTAATTCCAACCCCTGTACAAACACCAGGGGATTCGTCTGCTGTTGTAAACCCAGACCCACATAATTCGAATAATCCGCATAATATCAAACTCTTAAGGGGAATAGGGGCCGTGACGGGCCTTCGCGCACGTCGCTTTCCCTCTCCACTTACGCATTCCTCCTCACATGGGGGCGGCGGGGGGGCTTTATTGCTCTCGTATAGCACTTCTAACTCTTTGCGAACAAGCCCGGTTGTCAGCAATACCGTCCTCGATTTCCCGCGAAGTAGTAATACCACCCTTCTAAATACCAAAACGGGCCTTCCGTTTGCTTCTTCCGTGGGGGTAAGCCATGAGCAAGGGAAGTATGGCGAATTGGGGGGGGTCAGGGGAGTTTTACCCTTTGAAACGTTGAATCTCTCGCCGACCTCGTCAAGCGGGCCTTTTCACGGTCAACTCACGACCGCGAATCTTTCGGGCTTTTATCCAAAAGCTCCCTACAACACGGAGTCAATTTTCCGTGCCGGAGAAGCGGGAAATCTGAATAATATCAGTGGTATGGAGGCTAGCGATGACGAGAACTCCGATCTCGCGGAGATTCGCGTACAGGGATTTTTCCGCGAGGACCTCGGCGCGATTATCTCAAGCGATTTCCCGCGTAGTACCCTATTATACGTTTTAACCGCCTCCGACGGGCGGGATTTGATGTTTAAATTAATTCAATACCTTTTACAGCTGGCTATTTGCATTTTAAAGACGCCGTGGCTGTTTTCTCCGGATATGCATGACCTTACTGATCCCTGGGCGCTGCGGTTTTGGCGAAACTACAACACCATTCGCCATGGCCGAAGTCTTTTTAAGATGGGAAGGGGGATTTTGAATCTGTTTACTTTCCAAACTGTTTGTGAGAGGTTATGGATGCGGTATTGTGCTGAAGTGAATGAGAACTGCTCGCCTTTGCTGAGCTTTCTTCCGTTTCGATGCTTCCAACATTCCAAATACACAAAAGAGGGAGCACAGCTAGGGGTTAAGGGGCTAAAAGAGGGCCGTGCTGATTCGAGCACGAATCGAAATACTGCTCAGGCGGCCTCTCGTGGGTCGTCATGGCGGCGTGTTTCAGCCAGCCTGCCCTTCATATCTTCTTTGATGAAAAATGGAAAGAAGACCAACAAGGATGCTCCGTTAAATTCAATAGCAGGTGATGGCCACATCGTCTTCCCGATGGTGCAGCACAAACAGACGTCGGTGATCGCGAGCGCAGAGCCCACGCGAACGCTGGAATGCCGAGGCTCTCCCAAGTCACCCAAATCCCCTTCCACCACCCATGAAATTAAGAAGAAAGAGATCAAAGACGATGCGTATGACCGCACCCATTCGGAGTCGAACAAGATGAGCAACAATTTTCATCCTCCGCTATCAGGACAGCAGGTGGATTCGATGTTGGCAAAAGGCTCGAACTACGATTTGATAGATTTTCATTCCAGCAGCGCTCTACCGGGTCATGAGAGCGGGAGCTTCAGCCACACCATGCTCGCTTCTCACCCGTCCTCTCATCATTCTTCGTTTATCGATCCGCATCATCCTCATTCGCGCTATCTTCGTACCAATAGTACTAACACGAATGCAGTGGAGTACGAAGACTGTGATGAGGGGGAGCGTACGGTCGGGACCGTCACGGAGCCTCCCTCGTTGCTTTGCACCACCCCGCAACCCCTCTTCCATGAATCGCAGTCGACGAGCGCCACCAACCCCCTTTCGGGATCGCAAAAGAACCTCCATCACCCCCCTCCTTTCCTTTTGAATCCTTTGAAGGATGCGGCAAAGGCCGTAGCG